TGTATCCACATCGTGATCCAGAACATCACCAAAATTTAAAGGTGTGTTCCTTGGTCCAGTACACACATTTGTTGTAAATGTCATGACAATCTGTCCACAAGTTTGTGAGTCATGTTGTCCACAGACAGACAGACAGACAGACAGACATACGTGACCAAAACATTACCTCGCCCTTGGTGGAGGTAACAAACGCAAACCTGCTTGTGTTTTAGCTAAGCGTTAAGTCAGTTTGACTTAGCTGAACTACAATGATGATTGTGACGACAACAACTACTAGAAGAATACGAAAACTGGCTAAGATTGTTTAGCTGTGCTGTTGACCCCAAAAGTTAACCTGTTATACAGTCCAATGATTGATTCTCGTTAAGTTTCATTAAAATGTGTCTGGCGAAGAAAGTTTGTAACCAAGCACTATGGACTTATGGACTTGAGAGGGAGTGAGATGGCTAAACGGGACCATCCCACAAATGAGTCAGTCAATAACAATTCCAGTTCTCACAAGATGGCGGTAACACCACAAAAAAATCTTTAAAAGAACAAACTCTCTCTATACAGTTGAGTTCAGAAAATAAAACTAAACCAATCTGCAAAACCAATACATTTGTKACGCATCATATCGAAATGAGGATTAAGTCAAATGATCTAATTACATTTTCAGATTCCTGGCTTTAAAAACACAATATTTTGATACCTGCTTCATTCTGCTATCATAAGTAAATCCATAAATATGACTTAATTTGTCTTGTTGGTTACAATAATACATAAATATTTGGCTTGAATCCTAATTTTGAGTAATTTTAATGAGGAATTTTTGATGTCACAATGAAGAGGAAACCTCAAACTATATTTGAATATTGAGATTTCCCAGCTAAAAAGAAACAAAACATATCTAGCTAACAGGGAAAAATCTCAAAATTTTAAAGCGTTTTCTCTCAAAATCAGGTTTGTTGTTGCTACTGCTGAAAAAAGTGCTTCAAAATTTTGTTTTRTWATTATATTTCAGACRGWTCACTCGAAGGATACATTGATAAGGCATTTATTCATTGTTTGTCAAAATGCAATTTTTGCAAATGTTTTTAATCAAAACACTACATTAGCCTATTACTCCATGTACCACTTTTGGACTTAATCCTCGTTTCGATGTGATGGGTCACATATATAGACAATAGATAGATAGATAAATAGGCTGATAGAATAGACCAGATCATAATTTTTAAAAGTCTAAAAATATGATGCCACATCCACATTTCATCMTTTCATTTTTTTCCCCAAAACAGTATTTTTTTATCTGTTGTTTCATAAAACATATCCTTTTAAATGCAGCCCCTCCGAAGCAAAAAATGACCTAATAACACTAATAACAGTCTGTATGTTGTGCTGTAACGCTGCTGCAAAAACACATCATGAAGATTTAGCTTTAATTATATGTTTATACATGTGTTTGTGTCTATTATACTYCRCTGTGTCTGATTCTAACTGAAAATGTAAGATGAAGAAAAAGAGGAGGATGAACGCAAGAACAAAACCCTGACAACAAAGTGTTACTTTGTGTCACCTTAAACTACAAAACCCCAAAAATGCAGAATGGTGTTGACTAGAAGTCGTGCCCAAATATCGTGACAAAATCAAGTGATAAAAACTCTTTGGACATACATTACTTGGTATAATAATAATAATAAAATAAAATAATAATAAAATAATAAAATAAAATAATAATAATAATAATAATAATAATAATAATAATAAGAGAGTTTTCTCTGCTTTACCGGCAATGCTATTCTTCAACAGCCTTGTTTCAGTACAGTAAATGTACTGAAGTTGCTCACAAACTGTCAAATGTTACACAAACACAAGCATAATCTGTTTTTATTTTTACGTCTTTCATGTTTGGGATCATAGGTTAGAGGAAAAATGGGTCTACGACATCCTRAGGTTGTGTTTAGGTTGTATACATGAAAATACAATAAGCGTGATTTCCTAAGGCTCAGAAAATGTGGAAAACCTTTTTGAAAATTGCAGTTTATGGGCTCCTAAAACATTGTTTCCATGTGGATTTAAGGCTGAAACTTTTAAAAAAGTTTTCATATTTTCACAAAAACAGACCCAGATTGCTCGAGTTTGAGTTTGGAAAACGCTTTGGTTTGGAAAAGTCTGGAATTTGACAATGAAAATGTGAATAAATTCCTCTTAAGGATAGAGGTCACATTGGCGTAAAACCAAAAGCTTTGCCATCATAATCAGCACGAAGATCAAAAACTAAAAAGAATGATAATAATATGATGGTGTCAGCTTGGCCAGTTGTGTTAAGGTGACCATAAACAGTCGTCAAAATCAACAATAATAACAATAAAATCAACAATATTTTTAGCTACATAAATTTTTAGTCCTTTACTTCTATTTTTTTACCATTTCAACTAAAATAACAGGGTTTTTTCCTCCTGTGCAGCTCCATCTGATGTGCAGCTTCAAACTGTCGTGGCAGGTAAAGCAGAGTTCAGGGTTACGACTGTTTAACAAGCTGAGGTTTTATAAGTAAAAGTACTTGAAGCTAGCTGACAATACTGGATGGCTGCTTTGCTCTGCAAGGTCTCCTCAACAACAAACAAGCATCCAGGAGCCAAAGAACAGAAAGGAAAACAAAAGCACTGCGTTTAATCAGCTAAATATTCTCTATAAGCAGGTTGTCTGTCTGCCACGTTTCCACTGAATAACAGGAGGAAAGTTTTGGGCTTTGATGTTTCACATCAACCTGATTCTCCAACAGCTTCGCTCAGTTTCCCCTCTTTTGTTTAAAGCAATGACTTAACTGCTAAATAAAAATATCTGATCTCTTTTTGCCTTTTTTTGGGTCCAAAGTAGCAACAGAAGCAGGCTGATAGCTGGAAAACTATATTTCTGTGAGGAATCAGATCTCAACATGCATATTAAAATGAGCGTATCTATTTTGCTATTCCTGTTTTCTGTACAGTTATTGTGCAAATAATACCAAGAGCTAAAAAATATTTATTTCAGTTTCAGAAATATGTTATGAAATTAGCAAATATAATTCAGGATGATGTGAAAAGTGTAGGCTGAGTTATAGAAACATTTTCTAATGTTCCAGTTTTTAATATTTCATTTTAAATAGTCATTTTTATTTCTCTTCTTTCTAAAGGTAAAACCATGTGACTAAATTCATGCAGAATAGGGATKATTCTTAGTTTGCTCTAACCAACAGAATCCCTACAACGTGATGAATATCCAGGCTTTGTACAAACACAAAAAGAATTTGAGCTTTATTTTATTTTATATTTTTATTTTTAACCCTAGACTTGCTTCTACTTGTACTTTAATTTCCATGTTTTTACTCTTTATTATGTTGTGTGCTATAACTACGACGTCATCTATTTAAAATAAAATGAATAAAATAAAGAAATCATGTTAATTATGGGAAAAATTGTTGCTTCAATTCGTWAAAAATGTCGACAGATTATTAGAAGCAGAAGTAGCTGGTAGTCCTGCTGTCATGGACGAATTTTTACATCCTGTTTTTAACACTTTTCTATACAAACACACACATCAGGGTGCCGGGATTATTCAGGAAGCACACACTAAATCTGACCTGCAACTTTTATCATTTTAGTCTGACGTAGTTAAAAGAATCAGTGATTGACAAGGTTGGTAATGGACCTTTGCATGTTCTCCCAACACTTCGAACTGTTTCTAACAAAAAACAAAACGAACTAAACTGGGATTCAAGAGGAAGCTGGGAGCTCTGGGTATAAAACTGCAATTTATTTTTGTAGTTTTTGTTTTTGCTGTTTGTTTATAGTTGATGGCTCTGGATGGTTTGCCAGAATGGATCCTGTTTTATGGTTTGCTGTAAAAACAACAGTAAAAGCCACTTTATTGGACACAAATCAAATCAGCATAAAGCAGAGGAGGTTGCTGTTCAGTTATAGGAGGCAGACCTCTTGGAAGTTTCTCTGTTTTTAATACCTCAGTTAATACCTCATCATTAATAATCACTGCTTCTTACATATAATTATATATAATAAAATGTTAAATTCACGTATGATTTTTCTCTGATCTGTCCATCAACTAATCTGTTCCACATGAATGAGATTTTTTAAATTAACATTTTCCTGTTTCGTCAAACTGTTGATTGAAGCGCAGACCAGTACCGGACTGAGAGGAGACACCAGAACCTCTTCAAATTGCAGAACAGGGAAGGTGAGGTGGGGGAGGTTCTGTCACAGAGGAGGGATCCGACCAGCACCAGCAGCCAGCTGTGGCCGCTCAACACTTTCTGCTCCACCACACACACACACACACACACACACAGAGAGCCTTAAAACAGAACCGAACCTGTTTACTTGACCTTCACAGTCGGTTTTGCACAATTATTCACAGGAGGAAACTTCTCCCCAAACGAGCCCGAACATAAAGTGCCAGAAGCAGAACCATGAGAGCAGTGAGAATCCCCCAGCATCCCACCACCACCCCAGCAGCCAGAGGCTTCGGAGCTGACAGGTGCCTGACTCACAGTGAGAGGCGGCTGATGCTCCACCGAGGACGGTCAGGGTGCAGAAGAGAAGCGCGGGAGGCAGCAGAAGCTCGGGCAGCAGCGGCAGCATGTTCCCAGCTGAGCGGCGCTTAGATCCGTGTGTCCGCAGCCAGAGAACGGGCTCAGGTTCCGGCTCGCTCCTCCTGCTCGGAGGGACAACACAGTCTGCTGTGTGGACCGGAGGAGCACGGCTCTCCTCCGCCTCCTCCCTATGAGGCACAGCCCACCCTCTCCATCCCCTCCCTCCGTCTGTCTCTGTTTCAGACTTTATTGGCAGAACCAGAGCGCGGTGCCGCCCAGTCATTGCTGTGAAACAGAACAATGGCAAAAGATCCTCAGAGAACAGCGGTGATTCCAGCTGAGGAGCTGGGGGGTCATTAGCAGAACCCAGGAGATAACATGAATTAGTCTAGTCTTGATATCAAGCAGCTGTTTGGACTGTTTTACAGTATAAAAAGAACAGACATGTAATTATGAYCAGGATCGAACTTACTTTGGACTTCCTAATATTAAAAAGTCAAATAATGTGACTGTTTGGTTCGTTGTGGTTGGAAAATAAATTCTGGTTTACAAGCCCTGAGTTCAGAGGACAACAGTGACTCTTCCTCAAAGTTTAAATTACATTTTAAAACTAGAAGCACTCGGAGAGTGCAAACCTCCACCAAGACCAATTTCCTGCATCCTGTAATAGCGTTACAAAGGGGCACACCAATACTACAGTGCCACCTGCTGGACACTTTAAAACCCATGMCCTGTGAAAGCATCACAGTTTTGCCGATCTCAGAACGTTAAAAAAAATCCCTGTATCCGCATCGAGATCCGGAATGTCACCAAAATTTAAAGGTTAATTGCTTCAGCCAATATCCATATGTGGTAAAAATGTCATGACAATCCGTCCACAAGTTTTTGAGTAATGTTGTCCACAGACAGAATGACAGACAGACATACGCGACCGTAAACATTACCTTGCCCTTGGCGGAGGTAATGAGATGGGAAACAGACATTTCAAAGTATTCTACGTCTACGTCCTGATGCATCTCAATAATCCAGGTAAAAAATCTAAAAAAAAAAAGGTTGAATTGGTTCGCTGAATAAGTCATTTTTGCTGAAAAAATATGTTTAGTCTCTTTTTCAAAAGACTTCTCCAATCTGAGGAGTTACAGGTAAACTCAGCCATGTAATCAGGTGTTTTGCTTRGTGGTGACAAACAAGTTAACGATGGCCATCAAAACTGTTTGTTAACATGCAGAAAGATCTGATGAAGAAAATAAGTAAAAAGGCATCTCTGACTGGATTCATAAGGTCTGACGTTAACKTTAGTATATCTGCTCAGTCMGATCTCAGGAAGCAGAYGCTTAATGTAACACGAGMGTCAGACAGAGGTCACTTTGAAAAGCATCTAGAATCACGTATGGAATCGGCCAATAAAAATACATTAGCATTAACAAGCGAGTCTTACCTTGGCCATTATGAGAACCTAACAAACACGTCCGGAGAGAGAAGATATGGGTTGATTTCTAAGCTAGTTATGTCCAACTTCTGTAAATAACGCTGCCTGTGAGCCCCAACTGCACGTGTGACTTCCACAGAAAAATTATCTAAACTTGAACAAGTAGAAACCATGGCAAAAACAAAAAAAAATAACTTCAAAAAAACAATCGCTGCCATTCAATTTAATGCACCACTCCGTGTCTTCTGCCGTCCGACATGGTGGTATCATGTGACTTTGTCACGTGGGTGCAAAGAGTCAATTGTAAGACGGGGACAAGGACACAGAGGTCTCAACTCCTGCTTAACGACGGACAGTTTTGCTTCACAAATGGCTTCCTTTATCTCCTCTCTCAAACCAACATTCTTGTCTATCTAGAAGGAGAACATCTTTAGCACTGAGAGTCACCACTGGCCTGTGGATGGGTAAACTACAGAATCCAGGCCTGATAATGTTGCTCTTCTGTGCTGGGCCATTCTTTTGAACAGTGGGTGCTTCCCAGATGTATAACTGGTCACAGTCCTSCAGCKTAGACRACATTACTGTGTGTGCCATGGAATCAGATCTTTGCCTTATATTTTAGGGTTTGGAAGCCACTGACTGGGGTAACATGTTTAGAAAATAAATGTCTCAGTTTCTCTGAAACTCCTGTAACATACAGAATGATCACTGGTCTGGGGTCTTCCTTTTCACCCGATGGCTAGCTGGCATCCTGTGTGGCTTTTTTTTGTCTACTTTGAGGAAAGCCCAGTTAGGATAACCTTGTTGTTCCAGGGCCTTTGTGTGGGATTTCTCTTTCTCCCTGACACTTGTGTTTTTGTGGGGACACTGCTCYGTGGYACAGAGTCCTGATGACTAGTCTCTGCTGGTGTCTTTCCAACCATCCAGGAAAGCCAATATGTCATTTTTCTCATGTGAACTTTATCAACAGAGTTGATGTGATCAGTAAAATGTTGGACTTCCTCAGATGTCATTAACATACCTGAACCAATGGCTCGGTGGTGTCCCTGTAAAGGACATCAGAGCTCTCTTTTCCACCTCCTTCATGTACAGGTTTGCAACAATAGGAGAAACTGGGGAGCCCATAGCACACTGTGAAGTAGGTTGAATCCAGGCACAGTTTCAGCAGTTGGCACAGTTGCTCTGTGGAGCGTTTTTGATGCTAAGAGTGGTGTCTGATTTTAATTTTACATAGACCATCAGCAGTAATGCACATAAAGAGTGATGTGACATCAAAAGAGACCATAGTTTAATTTGTCTCGATGATGACATTCCTCACCTTGTTCACAAAGTCCATGGTGTTCTGYATGYGATGTCCTGAACTGCCAACTAAAGGACCAAATACTGATGCCAGATATTTGGAAACTTTGGGACAGAGTTAATCATGGGTCTTACTGGTAAATCATGTGTACCTATAAGATCCATTATAAGCAATTGTAAGTATGATTAACTCTGTCGCTTACAGGAGACAAAAAAATTTTTCAAAAAAGAAGAACTCGTCCAGAGGACCTACTAAACATTTGTATAAAGATATAGTGTCTGTGTTTACMAAAACTAAATCTTCTTCTTCTCCTTCTTTTACATGGAAAGAAAAAACTACAATTTTCACATACACCCAGCTCTCCCCATTATTCAACATGGTCTTTTCTTGAAAGGTATCCACGATCAGTTGTAACATTAGACTTTATTTGAGAGACATATATTTTAACTATAAAATAAAGACTATAAAAATATTGTAGGATGTTCAGTTGAGTAAATTTTTTAAAATATATTTTAACACGGTCAGAGCCATTTTATTTACACGCAAAGCATTCTGGGTAAATGATGACGTAGACAAGGTTATCGTGCGATGCTGCTAGCGAGCTATATCCACCCTGAAGGTTAATCTTGGACAATATCTGCCAAAAATGCGCAGTGACAGAGAGGAGAAGCCATAAACGACTCAGCCTGCAACTGAAAATATGGACGGAGGACCTCAGTTTAGCTTGTTAGTTTGTCACGCTAGCACGAGCTAATATACTGTATATAAAGACAATAGCGTCAGCACTAACGCTAAAGCTAACAGGCTAAGCTGAGGTTTTTCTTCCATGAAGCAGCTCTGTTGTCCTC